GCGCGATTTCAGCACGGAGAGGAACTGAACATGCTCAGAGACGGCTCTATTACAGGTGTGAGTCTGGTAACAATACTTCCCTGCCCACAACCGCCCATGCTGCGTGTCGTCCTCCAGGACCTGAGCACACTGGAACGTGAGACCTTTCTTCATGACGATTACTGGTGTGACCGACAGCGACTCCGCGTCAAAACCCACAGCATGGACAGCCGTTCCTCTCGGTCGGACTACGATGACGCACAAGTTGAAGGTGTGCTAGTACGCTACGAAATCTAAAACGAAGTCCACACGTCGGGTGAAACGGTGTAGCGTACGCCGGCCGTTGCTGCGCTCTGCATAGCTATAGCAGACTCGCGTGTGTTCGACGCAATTGGACAGTGCACGCCCAAATAGCCCTTAAGCTTCGCGATCCCGACGCCTATATTCAGCCCTACTCCACTCAGGCCGAGACAGAACACGGCCTGCGCTGGTTTTAGTCCGCAGCATGTCTTCATGGCGTGATACGTGGTGAGAGCTGCATCCGTCGTGGCAGCAGCGACACTTGGAAGAATGCGCTCTGGGCCCTCAGGAATTCAGACGGCGGCGCGGACGGCGCTGTACTCTGCCCATGAGCCATCCACGCCCAAACCGTAAGGCGGCAGGTTGGGACATAGATTATCCCGTCCGATAGAGCAACTGGTATAGTCCTGTTCAGCGCAGATGCTTGGTCCCAGCGCAGCGTGTGCCCCGGCTGTTAGGTGGGGGAGCGAGGGGGGAATAACGGAGCCTAGTGGTTCCGTGAGAATACTTAGAGAACTCGGTCATCAAAAAAATGAGTAAGAGCAAGAGCCTCTTTGCCTAGTCGAGCCCAAGCCTTGCCTTCTCCTGGGTAGGCCATGGATGCCCGGGCTGAATGCGAGATGCGGTGCACAAGGTGTGGAACCTGGTGAGGACAGCAGTAACTGTTGGCAGCGCGACTACCACTGGAAACATCTGTCCCCTGGCGCGCTGAGCGAGATCGGGACATAAGTCGCAAGGACTGACGCGTGTTCTGTCTGAGAATCATCACATCCCAGACCGCGGGAGGGGCACGTACTGCAAAGGTATGGAAACTCCTGCGAGCGTGGGATGCTTTTCAGAACGCCTATGCAATCTGTTTTATGATGTATAACAAGATTCGCCCTCCCGAAACGAATCCGTAGTCATTGTGAAATCGGAGCAACAGTTCAAGCAGTCACCAGTCACTGTTTAGCCCAGGGCGCTCAAGCTCAAGCTCAAGGCTTACCGACGCCGATTTTCAATTTCGCGGCAATTTCTGGGTTGTAGCGCAAAACAGGCATCGCGCGACATAACCAGTTTTTCAGAGCTTGTACGACGCAATACGCACTGTTCCAGATGTTAACAACAGCCAGACACCCCGTAAACGCGCTACTCACCTGCAATAGCATCCGGAACCAAAGCTACCCTCGCCTGCAACCTCCCTTCCCGCATGTCATCAAGCACCTGGATACATTGGCTCATCGGACGAGAGTCGACCTTCGGCTTCAGCAACCCGTCCGAGATGGCCTGCAGAATCTCTGCGAGCTCGTCCCGGGTGCCCCAGAAACTGGACTTGAGGGTGAGGTCCTTCCGCATGGCGGTTAAGGCCGTGTACGCGAGCGTGTCCGCAAGCAACCCGAGTACATGAATAGTGCCTCCAGGTCTGATGGCGGCGAAGCATGCGTCGAAGGTGGCCTGAATGCCGACGAAGTCGAAGGCGAAGTCAACGACAAGCCTTTCCTCCTCGATGAGACTCAGAAGCTGCTCGGGAGGCACAGCATAGTCCGCGCCGGCAGCTAGCGCATCATGGAGTGCCACAGAACGAGTATCGCAAGCGATAACGCATCGTGCGCCGAGGCACTTCTTGGCGATGTCGACGCCGTTGAGGCCGAGACCTCCTATACCCATGCAGAGTACAGTATGCTCGGCCTGCACGCGGCAGGAGGTCTTCATGGCGTGGTACGGCGTGAGCACCGCGTCGGTTGCAGCAGATATGATGGCGGGCGCGATGCCATCCAGCGTGCCAGGAACCGGAACGACGGAGGAAGCACGCAGCGCGATGTATTCTGCCCAGGAGCCATCGTGCCGAAGACCGTGTATGCCGTGCTCGATAGTGCAGAGGTTAGTGTAGCCGCGAGAACATGCGATGCACGTAGGCTTCTGACAGGGGTTTCCGCTCCAGATGGCAACGTAATCCCCAATCTTCAGCTGGGGAAAGGTGGAGGCCACCGACGGACCCAGCTCGGCGATGATGCCTGTGCGAACACTGAACGACGTACGTCAATAGGCATGGTAGAGACCTCACTTACCAGCACCCTCGTGGCCTAGCGTAAAGATAGTAGGTGGAACGAAATGGCTGAGAGCACCTCCAGGGATCAATATGCCAACATCGGAGTGACATACACCGGCGGCAAGCACTCTGACAAGTACTTGGCCCTCGGTGGGAATGGGAACGGGGATAATCTCTGGAACTGGATTGTGCTTGGAAGGGACGAAGCGGTAGGCTGTCATCGTCCTGGTTGTGACCGACGACATGGCGGTAGGCTGGTACGGATAAACGGGGGAGAGTCGGTCCAATGAGGGGGAGCTGCTTGAACGAGGTTCCAGCTCAAGCCACATAGCTGGTATATATACAAATGGATGTACGGTGCGTCGGCTTCGTCTGTGGGATCGCGCAAGCTGGACAATAAATGACCAAACCATGTCGGATCAAACCAGACATAGATTTCTACGGCGCATAGGGCGTGTGAGATAAAGCGAGAAGAATTCTCATCCAAAGGTCACTCTTTGAACTAGTTGCTTACCTTCTCCTTATAGTACTCGGACACCGAGATTCTTGGAATGGCTTAGGATGGTCTGACGACTCGGAGAGCGATAACACACTCCATATTGACAGTTGGCGGGGAAATGCCATGCGATACGCGACAATGTACTAGTTTGCTGTCTGTCATCCATGGGAAAATGTCAGATACTAAAAGATGGTGCGAAAATAGATATAGTAATGGGCCTCCTGAGAACGTGACATTTCGCTGCTCACCTGGACACGCAGTACGGCGTCGTCGGGCCGAATGTAGATGGTTCGGACAAGGCTTGTGCCCAGTCCTTTGTTCAGAAAGCCACAACGATGTTGGCCCACGACAAAGACAGGCCTATTGGTTATATGCGCCAGGTATTGGTGATCGAACATTACGCACTTCCTCCGTCACGCCATGGGTAGACCGACTCGAACCATCCCAGCATTTCCAACCTCGCCGACCTACAGCAGGTATACCTACACGCCAGTGAGTTAAAGAGTATGCCAATGCAGAATCCCGGTCGGTCTTACTGCGAGCTTTGCAGAACGAAGAAGTTAAGATTCAGCCACCGAAAGAGGAGCACTGCGTCCGCTGCCATGCAACCTTCACCGATGACGACGGCAGCAGGTGCCGTGTGCCACACGTCTACAAGCCAGAGAGCGAGGCGGATTGGTGCTCTCAGGGTATCAAGGGTTGCTTTTCGCTATGCTGCGGCTCTGCGAGCGTTAAGATCCAGGGCTTGAGTGCACCGGGCGAGCGGAAGACGGCCGTCATCGTCGAGAAGCTGGGTGACCCTTATTGCCACGACGGCTGGGAGCACACTATTGACACAAGGGACATAATATGCAACCGCTGGAGCTTCGAGGTGTGTAGGTACAGCAAGGAAGGCCGATGCGTAGCCAAGGTCGTCCAAGAGCCAGAAGGGACTGTAATCTTCAAGGACAAGTGGGACGTACTCCGCTGGGGAAAGAACACAGGATTCTCCACAGCCCCTCAATCCACACCTTCTCCGTTCTCCACGTTACCAATCCCGCCCATCGTATCCGCAGAGTCGGAGGTACCGCTGACCGTAGTCTCCATGCACTATCACTGCGATGGGTTGAGCACAGCCGTCAGCCCCTGGAGTATGCAGTAGCTGGTTTTGTCATATTCTGCTCTCTGAAATGAAAAATATTCGTTCACATAACGAGGATGTGGCGACATGAAATGTAGCAAAGTGGTGAGTACTGAGTGCAGAGTCTGCAGATGTGGCCGGGGGTTGTATTCGGGCGTCTATCAACAACTTTGTGGCGTCGACACTTTCAGAATCTCCTAGCTGATGAGTCTGCGGCTAACACACCAGTACTGGTTCAACTGATTCTGCCCTCACAAGTAATGACAGCCATTTGCGCCAATAGTGGTAGAATGGACCGGACATGAACCATTGATATTACTGTTGAGCTCCGTAAAGCTGGCTACTACAGCCACCCTAAGCTACGGGTCTGGGGTACTGTTATATGCTAACTACGTGATCTTTGTTCCAGTAACTCTACGACGTCTACGCGCGATGCCCTAATTCTTCTATGTAAAACCAAGTTAAGTTTAATCAAAGCTCGTCCTGGTATCTCTCCCACGCCACCCGATGGGGACAACCCTCTGGATGGTTTCTCGACTTTCCAGGGCCGACGAGGCAAAGCACAGGGGCCGGGGCGGGATCACGTCGAAGTCATCAAACGACTTCACCTGCTCCAACTCG